TACGTAGTTATTTATATACTTTTTAAGTAAGTACTACTAAGTATTAATAAGCTTTTATTATTAAGACTATAGCTTTTTATATACATTATCTACTTTTTTATATATATTTAGTTATTATTAGTTTATATACTTACTTAAACTAATATAAGCTTTTATAACTTATTAGCTTTTTTTCTAATACGTTTTTGTCATACTTTACTATTATACTACTAGTAAGTATTTACTTTTATAAGTTATACTTACTACTAATACTCTTATTATAGTAGTAGCTTACGTAGCTACTTAGCTATTATTATTCTAAGCTGTTTACTATACTTTATATACTTAATTAATATAACTTTACTCCTAAAACTTTATACTCTAATAGGAAGTATAGTATACTATCTTTTATTATATCTTTATACAAAAAAGTACTACTAGCTTTTTATTACTTATATCTATGTGAGGCGTTACTGTAGGCAATAGTGCTTGCTTCACGTTACTAAGGATAGTGGGAGATAGCTCGTGTATTCAGACTACAGGTGTAGGTTGTGAAGAGAATAATCCTTACCTCGCTCTGTAGAGCGAGGCGCGCCTTATAAGCAAGTTTAGCGCGTACTCTGTTCCTTCGAGGGACGTGTGTCTCGAGCCCTCGTTACAGAACCTCCCTCTCTAGTCTGGCGTCCTCGACAGCAGCGGCCTCGATAAAAACCTCTCCTGTTGTTTCAAGAGTAGGAAAAGAGTGTCCTCTACTATGCGCCCCAGATCCGTTGCGCTTGCGGCTCCTCTGCGTTGTTCTTATGTAGCTCGTATGATGCTCACAACTTACCCTACAGTGAGGAGATGTGACGGAAAGAGTTGTGAGGACTGTTGCTTTGTTGTAATACTGTTGCCTTGTTGTGATGAAAATTTTTCATGTTGTCAAGGTGAAGGCGGAAAAGTTTTCGCTCGCTTGTGGTGATAGCAAACGGTTGTTGTTGTGATATATTGCTGTTGTCCTCCATGTCCCTTACACGCTCAACACCTTCGCATTGCACACCACATAACGATACAACGCACACTTATCGCACACTACTCGCACTTCAAGATGGTCTTCTATCCCCTTCCCAAGTACATTTCGAAAACCGTCCTTAAGAAGGCCGATCCTTACGAGTAGAGCGAGCGCGACAAGCGCGTGTCGGAGGTGGCTACCACGCCGACTTGCCTGCGCTGCGCACAAAACGTAGCTACTAGCAAAAAGCTTTGCAAGAAGCCTAAACAGAAGCGCTGTGGCCATTGTGTCAAGGGCAATCGTGGCGGTTGCTTCCTAGTAACTTTCCCCTTGGTTTTTCTAGACATTTGGACTTTTGCTAACATTTTTGTAGGTTCCTGGGGATATGGTTGGCAAGCTCAACCGGCTGTATCGCCTTCGGGTCAAGTATGACACTGCTGTGTCAAATTCCAACAATCCCAGGATCAGTGCTACTGTGCTGGGTGCTGGCGCCAAGCTTGCGCGTTGCCAGCGCCAATTCAATCTCGAGCTCGCGACCCGCCGCCGTACCGCTGCCCATACGGGTACTCCAATGGGAGTTCCCACCCAGATTCCCAAGACCAGTGCGGACTTCCTGAGCTTGATCCTGGTTGAGCAGCGCAGGATCGCAGGCGCTTTGGAGCAGGTCGTCAAGCACATGGCACACTCGGTATGCGCTTCTCCCATAAGTTCTACTTTTTAACTTCATTTTGCTAATTTCAAATTCATAGAATGGCATGGCCGGTGAGGGTGATGATACCGATGATTCTGATGATCCGAGCACTCTTGGCGACGGTGAGTCGCAGGCTGGTGGCTCGGGGGGCGCTGGTGGTTCGGATAGTGGTTCTGGAGGGGGTGAGGAGGATGAGACTGGTGGTGGTGAGGGTGTTGAGGGTGATGGTGATGACTGAGTGGTTTTGTAGATTTCTGTTTGTTTGTTTTTTGTATGCATAGATACCCCGGTTCCCTCATATTGGGATTGCGCTTCTTACGCGCTACGAACGAGACCCTCCTGCTCTTCCTCTTCGTCTCTTATGCTGTGCGCTTTGATTGAACTCTTGGATCAAATCTTCCATATTTTCGAAATCTGAAGCTGGAGTCCAGGTATCCCAGGATTCATCGTAGCCTTTCCAGCGTAACCAATATTGCAGTTGGCCTTTCCTTGTTCTTTTCCCTAGGATTTTCTCAACCTCCCAAACTTCTTTGCCTTCTGGAGTGATTTCAGGCGGTTGGGTGTTATCCTCCTGATTTTCTCTAGGTTTCCATCGTTCTAAGAGTGATACATGGAATACATTATGAATGCGATAGTTCGGTGGTAATTGCAGGCGGTAAGCCTGCGTTCCGACTGCGTCTTGTACACGGAAGGGCCCTATGAACTTGCTAGACAGCTTCTTGTTTGGTTGGTGGAGTATGTTGATATGTTTTGTACTCAATAACACTAGGTCTCCTTGGTGGAAAACTTCGGGTTTGTGTTTGTTGTTGTAGTAGCGGCTCTGGTACTCTTGCGCTCTGCGCAGCTGTTCCTTGGCTGACGCGCGTGCGCTGTGCATGCGCTGCACCCTATTAACAGCGTCTGGCACCTCCCCTTCTCGCCGGCTGTCCTCAGGTGGCACAGAAAGTAATGGGTGTTTCCCGTATACCGCGTAGAATGGTGTTAATTTTGTTGATTCATGGATTGAGTTGTTGTAAGCGAATTGGGCAGTAGGGAGCAACAAAGCCCAGTTGTCCTGTGCGTCCGTGGTGAACATCCTCAGGTACTGTTCCATAGTCTGATTCTGGCGTTCTGTTTGCCCGTCCGTCTGTGGATGGAAGGCGGTGCTAAGCCTGCGCTTTACCTGTAGTTGGTAGCAGATCTCTGTCCAGAAAGTAGAAGTGAAGATTGACCCTCGGTCTGACACAATACCTTTTTGAATACCATACCGCAAGATGACATGATTAAAATAGGATTCAGCAAATTGCTTCGCGTCCCATGTTTTCAAAGCGGGTATGTAGATCGCCATCTTCGAGAAGCGGTCGACTATCACTAGTACCGCATCAAAGACGCAACCTGAGTTGTCCTTTGCTGGTGGCAATCCAGTAACAAAATCGAGTGACACCTCTTCAAAGATATCTTCTGGGATTGGCAGCGGTGCTAGCTTGCCGTGCTTAATGTGCCTTAGAGCTTTGCTCCTTTGGCATATCGCACAAGTCCGTACGTAATCCTGAACGTCTTGGCTCAGCGTTAGCCAATAGTATAGCCTGCTGATCAGCTCAAGCGTTCTACGTGCGCCAAAATGGCCTGCCATGTGTGTGTCATGGTTCTGGGACAAAATCTCCTGCCTGATGGCTGGTTCCTCTGGAACATATATCCTGCCATTGTATCTCAGGACTTGATTCTCATCAACGCGCCACACAGGCGCGTCTCTGCGAGCTCGAGTGCGTGTTGGTTGATAGGAGCTTGCGCTTCTCTCCTGTGCAAAGGCGTCCCTTTGCTGGAGTTGGAGCAGAACTTCCAACAACGTTTCCGACCCGGCTGGTGCAGGTTCGCCACTGACTAGTACCCTAGCCAGTGAGCGTGGCACGCATGGTGTGCACCCCATGGCGCCAGCAGTAGAGACCTTCACGGCGCTGCATATACTGGCTACGTGCGTCTCACACGCGCCCACCGAGCTGGGCTCGGGCGTGGATCTTCTTGCTCCACTCTGCTCTTCCCTTGCCAGAAGCTTATTCTGCAAGGTAGGCAACAACTGAGTCAGTGAGGTATTCTCCTGCTCGTAATCCACTCTTCTCGAGGGACCGTCTGCCGGGTTAGAATGACCCGGGCGGTGCTTTATCTCAAAATCAAAAGCACCTAAATAAAGCGCCCATCGTGCTTGGCGCGGATTCAGTTTTTGGACCGCGCGTATGGAGCGCAGGTTGTTATGATCCGTCAAAACTTGGATGGTCTGTTGTGCGCCTTCCAGATAATGTCTCCATTGTTTGAAACAATAGACAATCGCCAGCAACTCAAGATCGTAAACCTCATAGTTCAGTTCTGCGCTTTGTAGCTTGCGTGAGATAAACGCAATTGGGTGCCATTTGTTGTCCTCAAACAGCTGAGACAGTATGCCGGAAATGGCAAACGTAGAGGCATCTGTCTCAAGGCGAATCGCGAGTGCGGCATCAAAATGGCGCAAGATAGGCGCACATGTGAAACGGTCTTTTAGCGCCCTGAAGGCTTCTGTAGTGATCTCGTTCCAGTAGAATATTTGATTTCCCTTGAGGATATCAGTGAGAGGGGCCGTTACTACAGCGTAGCGCGCAATGAAGCGGCGATAAAAGTTGGCGAAGCCTAGGAACGATTGTAGTTCCTTAATGCTAGTCGGGGTTGGCCACTCGACTACGGTTGCGACACGCGCAGGGTCTGCGCGTATGCCGCGCCTTGTGACTATAAACCCTAGGAAGTGTACCTCTGTTGATGCGAAGGTACACTTTCTTAGGTTGACATACAGCTCCGCTTCCCTTAAGGATTGAAGTACAGAGCGTACGGCGCGCCAGTGTGTCGCAATTTCCTCGTCATACGAGTATATGAGGATATCATCAAGGTAGACAACACAAATATGATCCAAATAGGCGCTTAAGGCCTTGTTAATGTAGGCCTGGAAGCTAGCTGGAGCATTGGTGAGACCAAAGGGCATCACCAAGTATTCAAAATGGCCGTATCGCGTTCGGAAGGCGGTTTTCCACTCATCTCCTGCCTTGATTCTGATGCGGTGGTACGCATCTTTCAGGTCGAGGGTCGTATAGTATCGTGCGCCTGACAAGCGATCTAGGGTCTCCCCAATCAATGGGAGCGGGCAACGATCCTTAATAGTGACATTGTTAAGACCCCGGTAATCAACGCAAAGGCGAAGAGTACCATCTTTCTTGGGTACAAATAATATAGGAGCTCCAGCAGGGCTGGTACTGTGTCGGATCCAACCTCGCCGTAGGGCTTCTTCGATGTATTCGCGGAGCAGTTGAAGCTCACGTGAAGAGAGGGTGTAGAGCGGACCGTAAGGCGGCTCTTTGCCTTCTACAATAGGGATTGCATGGTCTGAACTTTTGTATTGTAGCAGGATCTCTGCGTTGCGGTTGTCGAAGACATCCGCATATTCTGATAGTTCATGCGGGATGCGAACCTCCTGCGCTGCGTGTACATGGTACACGCGCGCCTCTGGTTCTAACTCTGCGCCGCTCGATAGAAGCGTTCCTAGTAGATAACTGTCTGAGTTGATGCGCTCGGCTTCCTTGAGGAGTTCTTTTGTTGATACCAAGTGTATTTGTGCTTTAGTGTATCCCCAACGCCAGGTTTGGCGTCCACAGTCTATGGTAATGTCTTCTTGTTTCAGGAATGGGTTGCCCAATAACAAGGGACAACCTTCTTTGTCCACCCCGTACACGGTAGCGTTGATCTGGCGTTCCACACCGTTATCGTCGGTGAGGCGCAGGTTCAGCGCATACGCGGCATATGTGTCCTGTCGTTGTGGGCCAATCCACCCTAGCCTGGGGAGTTCGGCTTCTTTGAGGGGAGTAAGACCCATCTCCACAGCACTCCTTTGGCTGATTAAACTGACATCAGCTTGTGGATCCAGGATTACCCCTAACTTGTGTTCTGAAGCTGTGTCTGCGCCTGCGTAACACATGCGCTTCATGCCCGGCAAGATGTCTACGGGTATGCGCCTCACTGATCCCGGAATTTCAGGGAGGCTTGACCTTTTTCCGTGCGGTTGACACTAACAGGTAGCTGGTTTGGATTGCTACTTCGGCACTCATTTGCGTAGTGACCCTTTTTTTGGCATTTGTAGCAGGTAATTGTATGCTTGTCTTTCGGTCTACTCTGTTGGCTTAGTTGGGAAGTAGGAGGGCTTCGCTTTCGTTTCTCCCGGGATGCGACTTGAGGGCGATATTCATGCGTAGCGGGTGTTTTTCGCAAATTCCTTTCAAGCGTAGAGGCTAACGCTATTAGGTCTTCACGGGTCGCTGGGATTTGGTGGTAATTGGTAATTGATCGCTGGAGTTCAGGTCTTAGTTTTGTGAACAAGTGTTGAACCCTTTGTATCTCAGTGTAAGGGGTTAACTGGTCCTCTAAGACTTCCAGGTACGTAGCGAAAGATCTGACGGTCTGGTCTTTTCGCTGGAGAGCTTGGCTGTGCGCCGTGGCTGCTTCAAGGCTGCGGTTCACAGGATCTGCGAGCAGGTCAAGCAGGTACTGCTTGTAGTACTCCCAAGTAGGGATTCGTTCGCATGCTTCGAAACTGCGTTCGAAGTGCGCGTACCAAAGCTCTTTTGGATCGCCTTCAAGGCATTGCATTGACCATATTACCCTGTTCTTGTCCTCCTTTAGCTCCTCAGGTAGCAAGCGAAAGGCCATTTCACAAGAGCGAATAAACTCCCGATATTCCCGAATATTCTTACCCCGGTACCCTGTTGGATCTTTTGGTTTTAGCGTGCGCCTTGTATGCGCCACGCTGGGTGCTGCAGTGACGTTGATCGTGCGCCTCTCTTGAGGGTGGGGACCCGACGGATTGTCCGACACGCCCACATTCCTGCCCTGCTCTGATTCTTCCAGCTGGAGGATTTCCTCCTCTAGTTGGCGCAACTGGTTTTGTTGTTGTAGATTTAGGAGTTCATCTCGTCGTATCTGTGCCGCTTGGATGCGCTCCTCAATCGACGGGGTTGCGCTTCGCTCGCGAGGTATGGGCTCAGCGCTTGGGGTGCGTGATAGAAGGACTTGGTCCGAATCTCTGCTCTGAGAGCGGGCATGTTGCCCTGATCGAGTAGAAGGAGCCATCTCCTGACTATCGGCCGAGAAGGAGGATTAT